TCTACTCTCCCTCCAATTTTCAAAAGTATATACTCAAAACTTGCTTTTTGATAAATAATGCAATGTACTGTAAGATTTGTAATGCTCTTCAAGAGCTTTACTGAAGAACCAAGTCACCTTACTTCATAAATAACCAGAAAGAGCATGTTTATGGAACTTGTCCTGTCCATAATGGGCAGGTTTTTCCATTATCTGTAACCAAGTATTATCAAAAGTACACAACATACATTATTACAGGGCTAATCAATACATAACCTCTGTTGGACAGTGTTGCTCAACTGCTCAGAAGAACCATGCAGAAACAAATGTGAATTTCATTTCATAGTTTGTGGGCTCTGGGGACAGAAGAGGAAGAAGAGAAAAGATTGAGGAAAGGGTGAAAAAACAGAGGAGGATATGGCAAAGACATTTCCTAGACATTTTATTACAGAATTATTCATTACCTATGGGCAAACACATGAAAAAGCCTGTAAGTTCCAGCTGAATAGTCAATAAGAAAATTGCTTTCTTTGGAAGGAATTTAACTCATACAGAGCATTAACGCAGAGGCTTACAAAATCTGCTAACTGTTGTGGTTTCGAATGGAGTAATGATAAGAAATAAGTAGGTGTACATAAATGCTAATTGTTTGAGAATTCATATTACAATGGAGAAGAAATTTGTGATGAAGCATAGTTTTTTACTATACATTTGTCAGTATGAAAGGAAATCTGAAAGAGAAAGGCTAACAATATCACAAAATAAGTGACATATAAAAAACAATAAAATTTAGAGATTTATGAAAGACTTGTGACAATGGTCACTTAAAAATAAAATATTCAAAAATTCTATCCAATTAAAAATTGTTACTAATAAAAGTGAATTTTAATGAAACATTAAAAATAAAATTATAAATTTCAATAGACTACAATTTATCAATATCAATTAAGATTTATGATAGAGAATTTATTTGAGGAAGTGAAAATTAAATCAGGAACACACTTACAAAAGAACAAACTTTTCTAACCGCTTTGTTCATTTAAAGGTCAAATTTTAATATGAAAAACAGAAACAATTTACTTCCACAAGACAAAAATGAATTTGAAGAAATAATAAGTATAACTCAAAACTAATAAAACTGTAACTGCTAGAGGAATTAATATCTAAAAGAAAGTATTCATTGAATAAAATTGAAAAAATATTTCATGTACACAAATTAATATCCTCTGGAGTTTTATTCCAAGCTATAGATCCAAATTTGCACTAGTTGCAACAGAATTACTGCTGTAATGTCACAGTATTATTTTTTAAGAATACACAAAGAATAAGCTTGTTGATCCTATATCTCACTATGCACAAAACAGATTAAAGAGCAAATTTTCTGATTATTGAAAAATGACCAATTAATTTTTATTAGAACAATGCTAAAAGTTTTACATTTAAAATATATTTAAGTTTGCTATTATTTTATTTCCATGATCTGACGAAAATAATAATTTGTAATTTATGTATTGTTCATCCCTTTAAGAATAAAAATATTCAATCACCAGTTCATACCAAACAGACAATAGAAAACAAAATTAAAGGCTATTTATTGGTAAACACTTTTATAAAAAAAAAAATCAAACTGAAATATTACAATGGTAATTGAGGAACATAACTCCACAAAATGCTAAAAACTGAAGAGCTATCCATGAAATTTGCAGTGTATTTTTTTCTTCTTCTTTTCTTTTTTTATTACAATTCATAATAAATTAAATAAAAACTTTATTATAATAAAAATAACCAAAACATGCCCTGAGCTAATATAATTGAAATTCATCGAAGAAAAACTATATTATCACTATAAAACATTAAGCACCTATCAACAATTAACACTGCAACTGCACACTCTTACAAAGTAAGAGATTCAAGACTTGTGTCAGAACACAAAACAGCGAATGTGAAGAAAAGCTTTCTATATCAGTACCGATTTTAAATCATTTAAAAAACATATTTTATACTGTTTACTTTGTTGAATATTCCATCATAAATCTATTATTTAAATTAAAGAAATACAGCCCTAATTTCAACAAAAAGATATGAGAAAATATTGGTTAATGGTCTATCATCAAAGATTTGGGCAAAATTACCTTAGCAAAAGAGGCAATGAAGGATGCCAAACAATTATGTTCACTAATTTTAAGATTTTCTCACTTTAGGAATATTTTATTCAAATTCTTTGCCCCAGTCACAAAAAAAACATTAACTGCAATTAAAACTTGCATAATTCTGATGGGCAGTATTAGATATTTTCCAGACATTAACTAGTCAAATTCGGAAAATTAAAAATATAGAATGTTTTTAATGTTTTTTTATTTAGCCACAAAAATCCTTCTTTAACCTGCAAACAATGTATAATACCTCATCTACTATCTAATGCCAGTGCTTCACTAGTTGTTAAATGATCATATTAATTTTTTGAATGCATATTACATAATATGTAATATGAACACATTATGACCAACTACATCCTTATAAAACTGCTAGTTTATTAAAAACTCGTCAAGTTTACTTTCTCTAGTGTAGATTAGATTTATTTAGTCAAAAAACAGTAAAAACCGTACGTGACTTATGGTGAAGAAGATCATCTGCACACATTCTCTTCAGTTCCAGATCCCCTTCCCACGATTTTAACTATAAATAATTGAAGTATAAATAAAAGTTAAAGATATATAAATAAATAAATAAATAAATAAAAAGAAAATTCAGAAAAATGGGAGATTAGCAACATTTGAAAAACTAGTCATTTTCGTTCCCGAGTTATAGAAAACGTATTTGCAATGGTTAACATACTGCAGGTTTGATTTTTCTGCATTGCTAACAAAATAGTAACTAGTCCTTACCTCCACTCCTACGACTATAGCAAAAGGAGAGTTCAACAAAACGTGTGCACAGTAAACCTACAGATTAAAAATACAAACTTTGAATCACAGCTAATTTCAATAACAACCTCAAAAAGTTAATTATATTACTCACACTCTTCACTTATACAAAATATTGTCAGTTAATTCCTGGTCTAGCTGTATTCTCAACAAGATTCTTGGTAGAATAGGTTCTAATCATTGATGAATTCATGTATAATAGCTTTCCATGTAATGAATACCTTTTAACTTTCCTATGCGTAAAGATATGTAAATATTTTATTCACTGACGTGAATATTCAAAACAATTTTTAGACTGCCACATGTATGCAGTTACAACATTGTTTTCGACTAAAAGTCTAGCTTTCAAGTTTATGTCAGAACAGTTCAGCCATCCCTACCATTATTTTCTTTAGTTGCTTCAAAAGTGCATTAGCAATTTCACATAACATCTAAGAAACTTCCAATTCACTTTGGCATGCCAGCATTTTGTCTAGGCAAACATAAATAAAAATGTTAATTTATTATTCAAGAAAATGGAGTGTGCAACAATTAATCATATGAGGTAGCTTCCTGCACCCTCCAAGATGCATTGAGAGATGAAATGCCGACACTGGCAAAATCATACTCAATTCTACAATAATAATACCATTTGTAATAACATTAATTTCTTTCTATACACATTTTTACTCTACATGGAAGCATATCTACATCTTTCAAAATTAGTTCTTTTATGGCTTGCTTAAATCACTTATAAACATGTTGACTAACCCATATATGAAATAAATCACAAAAATTCTCATTTTAAACAACAAATTGCAAGTTTCCAACTTATTTTTAAAAATAATTTAAGCATGTTATTTAAATGCAATTCAAATGTATGCAGTACAGAGAAAAATTAAATTTCATAAATTTCCCACTAGCTCTAGCATGGAAATGAGCGGAAGACATACGCCAACCCATTATCTTTCAAATAATTCGATTTATTGTGGTAAATACTGGTGTATTTGCAAGGAAGCGGTGTTAACATCATTGGAAAACCCCCGTGTGGAGCGAGTACGTTGTCGATTCACACGGTCTTAAATTAGCTCGTACAAATCACTGACACAAAACGGCGACGGGACAGCAGGGCGGTCCCTCGTCCTAGGGGGCGTTTGCCGATATGGCAGCAGGGGGCGTCAACACGGCGCGGGGCAACCCTTCGCATGTGCCTGCGACGTTGCAACACCCTCCCAGGTCAACTCAATTACAATTCTTTCTCACTTCGGCGAGAAAACGTCCCAGGTACACAATTACGGAGCAGTTGCCAAATAATGCCAAGAATGCTGTACTTGCGCAAGCATTCAGAAACAAATTTAAGAGAAAAGTTTGGGTTTCTGTGTGGCTCATGGAATGAATAAATTATCAGCTGAAAACCTGCCTCCGATTATCTCCGACCGAGCGCTTTCGCCAAGCAGCGCTAATGAGAAAGCAGGTGCCAGTCTTTTTGACAGCCGGAGTCACGCCACAGGCGGCGAGGTCGCGGCCCAAGGGACAGCGGTGCCCTGGCCGGGGCCGCCGCACCTCCCATCTCAGAATGTGTCCCTCTGCACGAGCGAGCACAGGACACCAACACAGAAACGCCGCGAGAGCCGCCCGCCAACCGTTCCCGAAATGTCAATAACACCCTCCGTTCTCTTTTTATTCCGCGCGAGGCGATACGCATGTATTTGACGTTTGAGAACTTGCGGTGGGAGCTATCTTAGACACGGTGAAACAGGGCAAATGTTGACGTACAGGAAAACAAGAAAACTTGCACATATGACATTACAGAAATACATTCGCAACTCTGTTTTCTTGGTTTCTAAATTGACGTCACTGCAACACAATCAGAATAAAGCGCAGCAGCGTAATTAAATGTTGAAAAAGTACTACAATCTACTCACACACACATACGCACAGTGTACGCATAAAACATACACTAAAAGCAAAATATTAAAAAAATATATCAATGTATCACCTATTGTGAGTTTTACACTACTATTACTGAGTGATGTAAACAAATGCACAATCATTAAACGCACCCCAATAACTGTAATTCCAAGTAACCAAGCGGTTTCTCACAGGGCCCAAACTCACCTCATTTTCCAATATTCTGAACAATCTACTAGTCGCACACCAGATTAATTACAAAGGGAGAGCATCCGTGGTTGCTCAGACTTCAACTGTTCCAGTTCTACACAAAAAACACGAGTAATAAATCGCACAAACCACTATTTGAACAGACATTTGTGATGCACTACACCACCCTCAACACCATTTTACCCCACAACCCACAAGCACTAGAATGAAATTTGATTGGCTAATAGTTGTCGTCCGGTACTTCCCAAGTCATTCTTTGTGCCGATTTTTCCAGTAGTGATCAGTCCTTTTACATCACCCACTTAAATTAAGCTCTCCTTATTTTATACATGTACTTCATTTTTAGTCATTTAGAACAATAGAGAACAAAAATCATGGCTTCCTATAATGACTCACGTAGTTCCTTCTACACTCCGCTATCGAACGAGTCCGAGAGGCCCATGAGAACTCTGAAAGTTTATCGATAACTATCGATATAACGCAAAACGATCTCGATATGTAGCAAAGAATCATGAAGCAAAAGGTTTGAATAAAGAAAATAGGGAATCATATGAACTGCTGGAATTATCAACATTTGATCTGTACTAGGAGGCGCGGGTTAGTTTCGATATTTCAAATCTCAGAGTGATAAAAATATTTACCTATCGTTTTCTGGAAGTTTTCGCTGATTCGGACCTAATGAGTTAAAAAGTGAACACATTTTTTTGCATATCTGAAAAGTATTCTGAGGTAGATAGGTATTTTTTCAAAATAAAAACTGAATCACATAAATAAGTATACACAAAGCACGTCAGTTCTTTGTATTGAAAGAGAACTAAAATAATTTAACAAAACAATTCTTCCTAAAAATAGAACATGTGATTTTTCTTTCCTTCACATTTCACAAACTTAGCAGAGTACATTGCATATTACAATGATAATAAAGTAAATATGATAATGGTAATAACGCAACACCTCACAAGGGCACCTAAACTACCAGAGTTTAAACAAAATTTTATTTTTCTTTCCAACTTTCCAAAGAACTATTACTTATTACAAATTACTTATTTATTTATTTGTTTGTTTACGTATGTATTTGTTTATTTAATTGTTTATACATTTGTTTATTTACTACGCGTCGAATGATACCTCATGTGTCTTGATTGTTGTATGGGAAGTGGTCTAGCCATGATCCGAACATGTTACTCAAATACTATATAGGGGTGATTAATCAGCCCTTTCTCAAAAAATAAATATAATATTTATTCTGTCATTTGAATGACAATAGATCAGCAAATTACGAGCGCGTAAATATGACTAGTCTGAATATTAAAATGTCTAGTTCAAATGCAATTAAATTGTCTTTCAAAGTTTACATATCATCTTCGTGCGCAGTTGAAGCCTTCTCAGTTGAATTTGGTCGTAGAAAAGATTCAGAGTTACGCGATGTCCTTTCTCTTCCAATATCTGAATGATCTATACATGTAATTATACTTACCTAATGTTACACCATGTGCGGGTACCTCATCGCGTGACTTCGTAACATTATGAATAAAATGTTTTACACTAATAGCAACTACAATCTCTTCCCAATCTTAAAATTATTAAATAAATCCAAAATAACGCCTATTATTTGAACGTCGAATTTCAAAAATGTTATTATTCTAATATTTACTATTCTTCTCATATATTCTCGAAAAATATAAATAAATGATACTTATTTCGCTCATAAACTTGATCATTACTAATTCACCATGTAATATCTGACAACCTATCTGGTTCCTATCTGGAAAACTAGAGAATTGGGCACACTGGCTCATCGCACAAAAATACCGATTCTCTCCTTATTTACCATTTGGTGTGTATAATCCTAAACAACGTGTAACTTATTGTACCTCAGCTTTTGAGTCAATGTCCCCTCTCTTGACCGGGTTTTTAATTCAGTTTCCCTGACCCTTTGAGCGAATGCTGAGATGGCCCCCACTCATTTCTTTCTGTATTCAGAATTCCACTTTTATATAGCTTAAGGTAGTGTGATGATTTAAAAGGACAGCGAGATGAAATTAATATTGGCAAAAGTATTTAATACAGCAATGACAACAATGGGGTAAAAGACCAATAAACAAATATATCGTGTACAGTTAATATAAACAATGCGGAATATAGCAGACTCAGTAGTGGGGGAAAATATAGGGAGTAGAATAGGTAACGTAAAACAAAGACAAGTGAGCAATTTCCGAGTAAACAGAGTTAAACGTGAGAAATTTAATAATAGCTAAATAGTTCAAAGAATAGAGAGTTACGATGTAAATGCGAGTGTAACCAATGAGAGCGGAAATGGCATTCGAGAATGCGATCAAGATGCAAGTACGGAGGCAGGAAGGAACGTGTTTGAAAAAGATTTCACGCAGGAGAAAACAGGACACCAACGCACACTACTCAAAACGAAGAGAGCTTGGGCAGACTTGGTCGTAGGACGTGCAGATGAAACGCTCGCGGAGAAAAGTTGTTTTTATAAGGAAAAGTAATGAAATTTCGAACAACAGCCAAGCTTGCGGCATATGTTTCTTAAAGGAAAGTAACAATAAGGGGACATTTTTTAGCTGAAAATAATGTAGTAATATCAAGTTATGTTTTTAATTCTTAAGATACACACATTTGTAATTGAGAAAATAATTTGGCCAAAGCATGCAAAGAAAGGGGAGGGTTTATTTAATAGAATATAAATACCTTTGTTTATAATTACATTAATTCTGAAAAAGGATATATTATTCAATTGTTGCTAATGTGATGAAAACGTAAACAGGATAACATGTATGTTTGCATGTATGTATTTACAGCACTGAATAAACGTTGTATTTGATAGGCATATTGTAAGAATATTTATTTCAGAGGACGACCTACAGAATTCCAGAGTCCACGTTAGAATAACTAATATACGTGAGTATTTCACCATCGAGAGTCCGTACGGATGACCCATCATGCTTGGGGACGCTTGGACAGTTTGACGATATGGACGCCACTAGACAAATGTATTTTTCACAGTGGTTTTCAGGGAAGACCCGTCCCGGCATTCGGCTCGGGAGGCCAGGAGGCTTCGGGAGATTCCGGAAAGCTGGAGTCCGTGCGGCCGCCTCGTTCTCATGCTAGCGTTGCGTAAGGTAGTGCTTGTAGCGAGTGGCAAGCAAATTAATTTAAAGAGGCACGGCCAGGAAGTGGGGACACCGTGGTCGGTGAGAGAACTAGTTGAGTTTCTGAGTTTACTATAAAAAATAATTCATTCTTAACTTACCTAATTTTACATTAAGAGGGGTTGACTCCAGCAGGGCGCGTGGGCTAAGCGCATAATGTTCTCACCCGATGTGGAAGCGAGTTTCACTTTTGACCTATCCGGGCCACAAAAAATGGCACCGAGGGTCTCATGCGGCCCGCGGGCCGCCAGTTGGACAATCCTGACTTAGACAATATAATTTAACCGTGATTGTTCAGATTCTTACTGTGGGTAAAATTGTGGGAGAGAGTGTTTCATTCGAAAGTTCCATGATGAAGTCGTAGAGATAATCCCGAACCCACTTTCGCGAATCAAATGATGACAATCATCAACGAACGTGTGAAGAGATAAGAGGCCTGAAGACTTGTGCTCAATTATGGAACAATATACATTGGTGTCGGAAACAAGCTACCCTCACAAAAAAGTTAAAAATGCCCTCCATTTGCTAACAAACAAGCATTAACTCGCTTGAGGACATCTGCTGCAATCCGATATAAGGATCGTTCGATAATCACGCCAATCGCTTCCTCGATGTTTCTTCGGAGCTCTTCGAGATTAGATTTGTTTGCATAAAATTTACTTTTGAGGCATCCCTAAAGATAAAAATCTGGTGGTGACAAATCAGGCGAACGAAGAAGTCACAAATTCGTGAAATTATTCGGCTTCCAAAATACCCTCCAGAAATTGTATTGTCGACTTGGCAGTATGTGATGTCGCCCCACCCTGCTGAAACCAATAATTTCTCTAATTCTTTTCTAGAAGGGATACAAAATTTCTCAAGATATTCGCATATATCCGCTGTTATTCTTTCTTCGAAAAAAACGGACCAATTATTCTGCGACGAGAAATGACACCATATTTCAATCTTTTTTTACTGCAATGATCTCTCGACTGATTCTTGTGGTCTCTCAGTAGCCCAGAGGCTACTGTTTTGCTGGTTAACATATCCATCCAGATGAAACCAAGCCTCCTTATTAAAACATTCGTTATCAAACTCTTCAAGACCTTCGCTAACAAATTGTGGTAGCCAATTACAATAATTCATGCGAGCAGCTCGATCAGGAACCATAACGTCTTGAGAATCCTTCCACAAGAAATATTAAATTTTTGCTGAAGCGTCCTTTATGATGTTTTCGGAAAAGCTGAAATAACATCTCGAACTTTCTTTAGATTTCGTTGCGTGAGCACTGTGTTTTGGCGACTGCGTTTTCGATCAAACACGCCTCCTGTCCCCCTATATCACTTCACTAAACGAAATATAGTACTCTTGTTCGTAATAGACTCAGAAAAAATTTTCCTCTGATAGCTGCCTAGCACGTTTTAAAAGAGTGCGGTCGGATATGCTCCTCCACCACAAAGCTGCTTTGCTGTATGCTGAGGCGCATCGTAAGTTAACTTCAGAACTGTCTGACGCCGCCTTTTCTGCTTTGAGCAGGTGTGATCACAGGACGTGGGCGGGTGAAAGGAAGGGGATGGTGAGTAAAGGGAGTGTTGCAGAAATGCAGTCAAAACGAGCTGCCCCAAAAGCAGTTTTGCAATGCTTTCACTAGTCTCTCTGTGCCTCAAACATGAATGCTTTTCGAAACTGATCGCGCGGTATGAAGAATTCTTTCCTTGCCCTTCCAAGGCTGAGGCGAAGATGCACTGCCTGCGAAACCCCGGCCATATGTTTCCGTTCGCCGCCTGGTAGAGACTGTCTGGCGGCGTACGAGATGGCCTCGGGGTTTCGCCGCAATCAGACCTTTTTCCGATCGGTCGGATCGCCGCTTGCGGACAAACCACCGCTGGCCGTTGCAGTTTGGCACAGAGCGAGATGTGTTTCTGTTTTCTGCAGAATTCAGCTCAGCCCCTCTTTCCGACGTTTCTTTCTCTTCCTCCCAATGCAACAAGCATGTTATGAGAGGCGTTTTGCAGTGAGGGGAGTCAGATGCATCGGCAAC